CCTCTCTGATCGTTGCTGTATTTAGAAGAATTTCTGTGGAATACACGAATTTCCTCGCTTTCTGCTATTCAATTTACGGTTGAAAAGTGACGAAATGATTGTAAAGGCAACGACTGACAGAAATTGTTTTTGTAGTAAAACTTCAACTTGGCACGAAATTTCACACCGCAAAAACAATTTTGGAGAACGTAACTGGTGAAATAAATGCAACTAACACAAAGTAGTTCGAAAAAAAATCTTTTTTTTAATACATCTTTCTTTGTCTACTATCTGAGTTACTCGCTCGTTGCCGAGATTTTTTTACAAATCGTTAGTAGACGGCGCGCAAGCCAATTCAATGACAAGAGTTGTGTAAACGAACCCATTTGTAATCTGTAAAACCAATTTACTGCAGGAAAAAAAAAAAAAATAAGCATGCTATTTGCCGGCTCGGGCTTGAAGACCTCGGTCACAGTTTTTCACCATACGGACCTCCCAGCCGGCAAATAACATATATTTCCTTTCAACTAATTTTTTTTTTTGAAATACAAGTTAACTACCAAACATGTACAACCTCATTCAATATCTCATTTATTTCATCTGAATAAGTAACGAGACAATTGTATATACCTCTTCTCCACGCCTTCCAGGTCTTCCTGGTATTCCGTCATAACCAGCTTTACCCTGTTGATCGTAGCACATAATGCAACCTTACTGAGTTGTTATACCTCTGCCTGTCGGTTAAAGTGCTTTCATGGGACAATAAGTGGTTGGAATTAAATATGCCCCATCCCTCTGAAAAATCAGCTGAAACAGCTTCAACTACATTATAGTATAGAAAACACGGCAGGTTCGGTCTGCCTGTTCCCCATGCGCGCAACGTTTCGTTTCGTTTCGCCGGCAGCAAGCAGGGATGGAGCGCAGGTCTAAGTGATTAGACGCTGAACTATATAAGGAGTATTTTTCTGGGTGCAGCAGGCCCCGACACTTAGCACACCTCTCCTCAGCCAAATGCAGGTCAGCTTTCTAATTAAAACTCTAGGTTATTCACTGAGTTTTGAAATGTTTGACCAATTCTACCAGGACGACCCTTAACAACAAATATGAAAAATCGAAATAATTAACACCACTTCTCAACCAATGCACTGTAATAAAGAATGAGCCATACCAGTGAAAAAATGCAGTGCAGAAAAATTAATATTTAACAAGGACTCACCGGAGGTCCAGGAGTTCCAGATTCTCCAACTGGGCCATGTTCACCCTGTATCAATGTGGAATAAGTAAAGCAAAAGCAAATATTTAATCCGTTACTAGCACAGTTTTAATTGAGTAAAAATTTATACGCATTTTCAACACTGTCGGCAGACACTGCTCGCTTCTTCTTGCTATATATAGCTACGGTGCGATTCTAATGTAATACTTAATTGAAGTTCTGGATCATAGTAATCCCTCCGCTTTCTCGAGACTGGGTTTTCGCGGTTTTTGGTAAAGCTCAAACTGTTGTAGTTGAAGTTGTTGCCGTTGTTGTAGTTGAAGTTGTTGCCGTTGTTGTTGTTGCTGTTGTTGTTGTTGTTATTGCAATCGTCCAATTTCTTTGTTAATTCGATCTAAGATTTCAGGGTCACACAGCGCCTCGAGCGTTTTAACAGAATTGAAAGGTAATAACAGTACAAAAGGCTTGAAATGGGAACTGAATGATGGCTTACCATCTCACCGACTTTTCCGTCTTTTCCGCGCTCTCCTGCTCTTCCCTTTAAAGTTAAAATAAGAAATAAAAGATACTGTCAAGGAACTACACAATAAATGTCAAAAGTCTTACGCTTCTATAGATATCTCAAACAAACAAACAAACAAACAAACAAACAAACAAACAAACAAACAATCATTAGCCCCGTGAAGGTAATTTGGACACCCCCTTTTATAAGTTCATCCGCGCCTTCTATCATACTAACCCAGTAACACATACTAACACAGTCCGTAAAAACGGGGGTTCTGGCTGGAAAAAAGTATTTCAGCAGTTTTGCTTCATATTCTATTTCCCTCACGTAGTAAATTTAAATTAGTTAATTCGTCTTCATTTAGAATAGAAATCAATCACTTACCCTCCTGCCGGTACGTCCAGCAAAACCTGTTGGTCCTTGGACACCGGGGGAACCCTACCATGAAAAACGCCACTAAGATTACGACAGAAAAATGAACACTGCTGCCTTAATGTTGCCACACAGTAATCTTACCACTTCTCCCTGTAACCCTTGGAATCCCATCAGACCTCGTTCGCCTTGACGACCCTGCAGTAAGAGGGAATAGACAACATGGCGCAGCCGAGTTGATTATTTCTTATAGAAAATTAGGGCGAGTGCCCCAACTGCTTAAGTACAAACTCTAAAGGATTGCAGAACCAAAACTTACAATTTTGTGAATATTTGGGCCACAAAATCAAGAGAAGCTTCTCTCTTTCAGTGAGAGCAACACGCGTATGGTCCTGTTGTATCAGCAAAATTAAACAGCGACGAGAGAACCAATCAGATTTCGCGGATTTCCAATATGGCACGCTGCGTGATTACTAAGAATCAACTCTAATTTGTTTAAAATTTCGTGCATGCGCAGGAAAACTCTATTGCATTTCTCTCTTTCATCCCTTACAAGAACATACATTCTTCTTGGGAGAGCAGGGTTAATAACAAAAACGTGCGTTGACATCTCTCGTTTAACCGTTCACGAATTATCCACTCACCGCTCGTCCTGTTCTTCCAGGACTGCCGCGTGGTCCTTTAGCGCCACGATCCCCCTGTTATAATATGGAAAGAATAACGTTTTGCTGTTATTGTTGTTTTAATACCATTTAGTCTAATTAGGCAATTGCAGACTGAAGTAAGAGTACGACTTTTTAAACCTGGTGCTCACGACGGCTTTCGATTATCTCGCTTCACACGCCGATATCATTCAAACAGTCCCAGCCTTATTCAAGCGGTCAGTAACAGGGTGAAGTAAGGGCTCAGGGAACTTCACTGAATTGAAATTCCAAAGATGAAACCGCACTAAGTCTCGCACTCATGCTCCCATATGAAAGTCCCTATTATTAAACTAATTAATTAAGGACGACGTACAGATGATTTATTGACAATATACTCAGAGCAATAACAGTTTAACTACAGTATTCCTCAACAAAATTAAGTCCATGAAAGTTGTCACCTGCGATGCTTCGGCACATGGGAGTTTATTATTTTTTACCTTTGTTCCTCTTGGTCCCTGAGCGCCCAATGCTCCCTCTTTTCCTTGTTCTCCCTTACAAAAAATAATTATCATTATTACTGTGGTAAGTAACACCTTTTTGTTATCCCTCGGAACCCATTAAGGCTTCTGGTAATACAACCGAACCATGGGCCTTGTTGTAAGCGGTAGCTCAGTTTGATGGGTCAAAATAATTATTAATTTGGCTGGAAAACATATTGGTTATGAGCGAAGAACGCATAGCCGCCGTTTGATAATAAAAAATCCATTGTAAAACTACATTAACAATAACAAGAAATTAAAGGCTGGGAACAGAATGTGGAGCAGACCGGAGGCTAGATCTGTGAAAGCACATGATGATCGAGAGCCTAGAGGGGATATTCGTTAATCCTCTTGAGAGCTACCACCAAACTATTGTCTTTCTTTCACCCGCTCAAGCTTCAGCTAAAAATTAACAGCAAGGGATAACATGATTTTTTATTGCCAAGTCAATAACCCTTTATTCATGTAGAAGTTATAAATGTGTTTATTTTCTTGGTTACCGTGATTCCTCGAGCTCCCTGGAAGCCAGGAGTTCCGGGAGTCCCAGGTTTTCCCTAACAAAGGAACATTGGAAAATTTAAAATTTTATGCAAGAATAGCAAATCTAATTAGTACACTATTTGTTCCCAATCTATCATAAGCTACATATTAAGTACACTTAATTGTCTCATTCTCTTAATTCACATACTCTAACTTTCCTTGTTCAAACTCGCCCTGATAATTTTTCTTGCTGACTGCTATTTCTGAGAATTAGGTGCTTCACGAAGTCAATCTTCCTCAGTTGATCAGTTGCTTATATTAGGGTTAATAATTCAAAACAATGTAAAGCACGCTCACCGGATCTCCTGCTCTTCCTCGAGAACCATCCTCGCCTGGGAGACCCTGGAAAAAGTGAAACAAAGTAAATAAACAAACAAACAAGTAAACAAATGATCGGTCGAACGAAGGAACGAACGAAGAGACGAACAAAGGAACGAACAAACAACTATAACCAATTCCTTACCCTCAAGAAAGGTCTAACCGATGAACGCTTCCTTTCTCTCTTAATGAACAACCCTACGCTATCTTAACATGAAATGTTTACAGCCACAATAATATTACCGTTCGTCAGTTGTTATACTATTCACCCCTATTTCAACTTTTAATTAACAGCAAAGTGTAACATTCACAGTACCAGCCTGGTTTTTAGTGGAGTAACTCTCAGGACACATAAAAACTTCCTACCGGGAGCGCTATTTACAACCTCTCTCAAGAAGAAGAGAGACCCTGGTAACGAGGCTGCGCTATTTATTGGTACCCGTATCAGTTTACCTTTGGTCCTGCCGCTCCCGGAGTTCCTGATATTCCTGGTGGCCCACGCAATCCCTAAGTAATATATTAATAAACTAATAACAAAGTTGCAAATATTGGCAGAGATTGACAAGGAGGCAAACAAACCTAAGACATTCAAGTGTTATTGTAAGTAGAAGTATTGACTACTCAACATGTCAAGTTTTATTTCAACATGTAGGCCTACTAATTGTTTCTCGGTCTCGGCCGCCTGCCATGACTCGTTCCAAATATGGCTGTAAAATGTAGTTGATTTAAAATAATCATAACAGGAAATTTCTAACCTTCGTTCCTTGCCTTCCAGGAGTTCCAGGCTCTCCAGGGGAACCCTAACGAAAAAGTATTTAAGATTTAACAACTGACAGATCTGTCTGGGCTAGGCGTTTGCAGCTGTTCATAAAGTAAATTCAGAGTAGGATGCATAGCTTTATTAAGAAATACCGCTTCTCCCAGCCAATACAAAGTAAAGAAGATTAATAATGACAGATTATAGATTCATACTTTCACTAACGTGCCGAACGTCTGTAGCAGCGATTGACGGTAAGCTTAAACCAACCATTTTGAACTGATAACTTTAGACGTAAAGGAGAAACAGATGTGGCCAGCGTTTGAAAAAATTGTTCAACATTAAAGTTCTGTCGTTAGAGGAGATTTAGACTCAGCAAAACGTTGAGTTGAAAAGTTGGGTTCGTTATTAACAATTATAAAAAGAGAGAGAACTACTACGCGCGCTCTCACTGGTCGGTAGGTGTCTTTAGATAAGAGTGTGTAAACACGGCTGTGCCGTTTTAGATTCGCGCGTATTTTCGAGAAATATTTTTAAAAAGTTATAGAATACTTTTTCCGCGTTTACATAGCCTCATCTAAACACTTGGTGGCTGGGAGAATTCTCGAAAGTTATGCAAACCCGAGACACAGTCGAGAGTTTGCATCGAATTATCCAAACCCCCCTTGTGTTAAGATGAGGCTATGTAAATACGGAAAAAGTTCTCTATTGCTTAAATATATTTCACCTGATCTCCTTTAATTCCAGGTGTTCCGTCTAAACCAGGCAATCCAGAATGACCCTAACAAAATACACCTCCGTACGTCAAAACTCAAACACTTGATCCTTGTGTTTACAATAGTACTATGAATGCCAATATAATGTATAGGGTGGGTTGGTAAAATGAATCACAGTGCAGCAATATGCTCGTCGATAATGTCATAAGAGACATGAAACGCGGGGCATATAATCCCGAAGGTAACATCCCACTAAAATCAACACAACAGACGTTTAGAACGGTTTTCAATTAATCAGGCAATTACTTTGGGTTTGGTGTCGGTTTTACAACGGTTTGAAATTCGCTGAGAAGTCTGAATGGAAAAAAATTTGGTTTGGTTTCGGTTTTACGACACTCAGTTGAAAACCGCTCTATGGACAAAACTTTTAACAGGTGAGATGTAGCTATAGTGACTAAACAGACGTTGTACCTTTTGTCCCGCTAAGCCAACTGCACCGGGGTAGCCCCTCTCGCCTTGAGGACCCTAAAGAAAAGCAAATGAATAGATAGATCTGACCACGATCAGTCTTCTCCTTGCAAGTGACGTATTGCTGGTCTCCTGGCAACCTAATTCAGAATGCTCCGCTGCACCCACTCAGGGCCGTTGCCAGTATGAGGCAAACCGAGGCACTTTCCTCATTCATCTTCTTTTTTTTTTTTTCGTTTTTGTTGGTTTTCTTATTGATGTGGGAAAGTAAAACACTGCTAAATACCTAGGAAGATCTAATTTAATCATGGACACTGCCTCAGTAATTATTTTCTTCTGGCTGCAACACTGCCACCAAGGAGAAAATGGTCTCACTGCAGTTACGGGTCGCGCCGACAGCAAAACGAAGCACTTCGATGCTTATCAACTGGAATTTAGGTAAATCAATAAACCGCCGTGTTAGCCCTACGTCTAAGCAAATTACAGCAAATATTTTGTCCTGACGAAGGAGTAACGCTCGAAAGGTCTGCTTGGCCATCTCGTTACATTGTGTACTCTTACCTTTGGTCCAGTGTCACCTGAAACTCCTCTTGATCCACGACGTCCTCGCGAACCCTAAAATGACAGCAGTAAAATGAGGTACGAAATTCAAGCTTGAAAATAATCTCTTCCGGTTAAGCGCACTTCCAAGCCCCAATACGACAACTTACCAACAAAATCTATAAAAAAATATAGTTAATTAATACTTAAAATTCACAGGCAGACAATGTTTACGGCGAATTCAGGCACTGAGTAAGCCATCTTTAATTTCAAACAACAACAACAACAACAACAAAAAATAAATAAATAAACACCAGGGCCACGACTGATCAAAAGATTTATTTACAATCATGGACAAAAGTCTAGCGACAAATTTGCACTTTTGGGGCTTTTGCATACACGCCCGACGCGAATACAGTTAACTTCACCTGCCAAACCTCTATCACAGCCCCACATACAACCCCACATACTAGTACTTGAAATTTCTCCTGAGTTTAAATTTTGAACTGGGTGGCAGAGGAGAACAGCAACGCGTTTTTAAAATAATGTAGTTGCGCTTTTTTAAACTTCAGTTGAAAATCACAGATAACTCGTTGTATTACGCCAGTGTCCCAACGTCTTTTGTCCACGATTGTAAGTATGCAGTTGTTACATGTATGTTGTTTTCTGGGTGGTCTGAACACCGTGGAAAATACCTTTCTTCCGCGTAGGCCTGCTGGTCCGAGCCGTCCAACTCGCCCTCTTGGACCCTTGGTTGAGATCAGAGTCAAGATATCACAAAGTATGTATATAGATGTGAGAGGTCCATGAATAGCAAAGACCAAGAAAAGATGAAGGATAAGGGAGTTAATTACCCATATAAAATTGTGGGGATGTCTTTCGTGGAAGTAGACTGTTCACAGCCTCTCTATTTACGCACGCAAAAGAAAAAGCGAGCGAAGCGAGCGCGAAGCACGCGGGGGTGGGGGGTGGCCAGTCAAGTCTTCCGTTTTGCGCTGGCGTCCAGTTCTCTCGCGATTCTATCTGCGCGTACCATCAAATAAAAATACGAGAAAATGGAGGGCTGTGAACAGTCTATCGTGTAAGATAAAAATGTGTAAAATTAAACCGCTTGCATTGTGCTGTCTTGAGCAAAATTCGCGTGACGGGATTGGTTATTTCTAGACCATCCTGCGATATTCGAAACCGTGTGAGATCTAAAAACAACTTAAAATGGATTACCTTAAAAATAAGGCCTGGGATTAGCTCTCTCACCCTTTTATCCTCTCTTGTAACCATTCAACAAGAGAATACTGAAAAATGGTAATCAGGCATGCGAAATATTACTATTATCAACAGCGTTTTCAGTAGAAATTTTGCCATGTTCATCATAAATTGCGGTGATATACTTCACCTGATCTCCCTTCGCTCCTGTTCTTCCTCTTGGTCCAGATGCTCCCGGTGAACCCTGAAAATGATGATTGTTAAGCCAATTGCAATTAACCGCGGCAGATTTTCTTTCGAGGTTTTTGAACCTATATTACAATTATAGCTGCGAAGAAGACTACGAATTGGTTTGCAATTTGCTAGCACTTCTGATGCAGAGCTTAGAGCAGGATTGCGATTGCGTTGT